GAATTCCTGGGAGTACCTGCCAGCACACCTTTGATATGCAAAGCAGCCAAGCCCAAATCCATACCTCAGCCACCTCCTTTAATGGGATCTCATACTCTGGGACACTATCCCCTGCCCGCATCGCCTGGCGACCAGGTACTGAAAGCTGGGGACCGCTCCCAGAGCCCAGAGCCCGCAGCAATTATTCACACTATCCAATCCTAACCTGCTCAGCCTGCTAGCAACCTCGCCTGCCCCATTCCTTCCTGCAGAAACAACCTCTCAGACAGAGATTCCACTAGAGCCCTGGATTCCCTCCCTGCCTGCTCCTCTCACCTTGGAGCTTCTCTTTATGGCCCTACCTGACGCGCCATGCCTCCTGCTTCTAAGGCACTGGACGCACTGTAATAACATCTTCCTTCATGCCAATCATTTTCAGGTCTGTGTGTCTTACCACACCTGATTAAAACAAATCCCAGGAACCATGAACACCTCTCAACTGCTAAACGCAGAAGCTGCTCAAAGTAAAGTGAATTATCTGATCTTGAAACCCATTCACCAGGTGCCTTACATTTTTACACCAACCCTCCTTTTCCCCTATGTAGGGAGCCACCTCAAGGGCCACCATCTAAGTGTCACTTCTGGAAAGGGCCTTTCAGAATTTTCTGACTCGTAAGGTGGTTACTGGAGCGCTGACATATCCATCCTCACCACTGGACTCTTCAGTTTACCATGAAACGTTAAGACGTGCTCCACGAGAGCAGGGCGTTCCATCCATCCCACTGCCCGCTGCCATACCTCCAATACCTAGAAGTGTGCCTGACACACAGAGGTACCCAATAAACATGTCTAATGAATGAATGACCTGTACAATAATAGGCATGTGTTGGTATAGGTGGCCCATGGAATACAGCTTGAATATCGAGACTTCTAAGTGGTGAGCAGCCTGGCGCTGAGTTAAGGAACGGGTTCTAGAGTGAGACCGGAGGTTAAATCTCTACCTACCATTGGACAGATGTGCAATCTTGGGCAAGTCACCTGACACAACCAAGCCCCCAACCTTCCATTGATAAAAACTGGAAAGACTGAACCTATTTCCAAGGGAAAGGATTCAACAGGATGGCCTGAGTAAAACATTTATATTCTGGTCAAGTCAGCAACGTTGATTCATTTGATGGGGTCCCACACCATCATCCCGCAGGCCCATCTGAAACACATGGCAATGACAGATGAAATATCTTTTTAAAAGAAGAGTAAAATTAAGGAGTCATAACCTCAATTAGACGTGACACACATCTCCATGAACCAGCAACAAGAGAAACTCCCAAGTGGTACAGAGATTTGAAGCCACAGGCAACAGTAGCTGGAGGTCAGCTTCTGAGGGGTACAGTGCTGCCACCCAACAGAAAGATGGGAAGGTCCACCCGCTGCCTGAAGGAGACTCGGCCTGGGCTGGCAGCCTTGACTGTCGCCACTTGCTTCATCCGAGCAGTGTGATGTCTTCGGTAGCTCACTACATTGAAAAAATGACTGTTTCCTTTCTCAAAGGTCCCCTTCCAAACAGCCCTGTCTCACAAAGCAGGCAGCAGCCCTCCTAAGCCTCCTCTTTCCTGCCTTCTTAACTCCTTTACCTCCGTGCTTTCTTTCAATCCATTTCTTAATTATAGACAGTCTTTACATGGTATCCCTTCTGTGATTTAACATGTCTTAATAATACCACTTCTTCTAAAGGAAGCCTTTCCCAATTATTTACACCTTGATAAGTAGTTACCTTAAAATCCTCATAAACCATCACTTTACGTGGCACTAACTTGTAGGAGGTAGCGATGAAGTTACTTAATTCTCAGAACAAACCATACAAATTACAACCTACCTTCTGAAGCTAGAGACAGAGAGAACATAAACAAAAACAAAAGCAATGCAAGTTCATTTTTCATTCATATTTACTGTGCCAAATGAAGGTTTTATGAAGTTCTGAGTAATATATATTTGTTCTCTTATATAGGCAACACATCCCCTGTAGATGGTAATGCATGGGGAGTAACACCCTCCTTAATCTAGACTTTCTGGACACGAGGAGAAGGTGCTGAAACCCCCTCTGTGTGGGTACAGGACTACAGGCTCTGATGGGCTTTCCTGTTGCATGACAGTGACAGCAAAGGTAACTGTTATTGGGCTTCGGAGGACACAGGGAAACTAGCAAGGGACTTAAAAAGCAGTGAGAGAGGAAGCAGGAGGGGAGGGAACACCAAGTACACAGGAGGACCTATGGACATCTGCGTGCTCCAGACACCCGTGCCCATCCCAAGGTGGGTGTGAGGAACTGAACCAGGGATGCCAGTAATGAACCAGGACCCTCAAGTGGAGCCAAAGTGATCCCAAACAAGAGCACTCCCAGACCCCCTGCAAAAGCAAAGACAAACCCTCCAGAAAAAAATGGGATTCAAGCCAGACCCCTAACAAAAGCAAAGACAAACCCTCTGGAAAAACAGGATTCAAGCAGATTAAATCTGCATCCAATGAAATCTGATCTCAAAATCATATCACAAAACATACAAGAAAAGAAGCCATCATGAGAGATGGTAGAAATAACCAACAACTTTCAACAACCAAAGACAGACAACCAAACAACAAACAAACCAAACAAACAAACCAAACAAACAACAGCTTTCGACAACCAAAGACAGAAGAATGATCAGATACAGAGCATGAACTCTTCCATTATAAATGTTTCAGAAAAAAAAAGATGTCTAAAAATGAACAAGGATCAAGAGACCATCAAAAGCAATCAGCCACACATGAATATCAAACCAAAAGAAGTTAAAACATAGAAATTAAAAGCTCAATAGCACAGTGAAGCAGCAGATTAGACCCAAATGGAGAAAGTGCCCTGGGGAGAGACAGCCGAGGCCGCCTGGCAGAGCACAAGGCCAGCAGACAGGGTGGGGAGGACGGAGGTGAGCCTGAGGGATGTGGAGGACAGACCAAGAAGTTTGCATGGGAATTCTAGAAAGTACGGCCAGAAGGAAGAGGAAAGAGTCAATATTTGAGAAGAAAGTAGCAGAGAATTTTACAGACATTATAAAAGATTTGAATCCAGAAATACAGGAAGCACACAAAGCAAGAAATTTTCAACTAGACATTTCATGGTGAGACTGCAGAACCAAAGGGTAAATTAAGACAAGATTGTTAAGCCAGAGAGAAAAGGCATTTAAAGGAACAGCAATTAGACTGAGAACAGCTTAAAACTGCTGCGACGGCAACTGAAAGATAGTAAAATCATACCTGTAAAGTGTAACATAAATGCTTTTATTACTACTACTACTAGTAATAAGAAATAGCAACAGTGTGGAGACAGCGAAGATTCATCGAAAGCAGATAAAATTGAAGGGATTATGTATGACTCTTAAAAGAAGGACCGTGCCCATAAGTTTTAAAACTGGTGATAAGACCAAATTCCTCAAATTCTTAGAAAAATATATAATTTACCAAACCAGAATCAAGAAGAAATATAAAACCTGAATCATCATAGAGTGATCCAAAAACTATTAAAGAAATGGAAGGAGTAAAGTCCTCCCACTAAAAGAAAAAACGAAACAAAAAAAGTACCAGTTTCAGATGGTTTTTACAGGGAAGACTAAAAAACTTTCCGGGAGCAGATGAGTCCAATCTTATACAAACTATTTTATATAATAGAAAAAGAACAGACACTTGACAACAGGTCCTGTAACCTTTGTAACAGAATCATTCAAAACAGTATGAGGAAAGGAAATCCAGACCAACCTCAGTTGTGAACATAGATCCAAAAATGCAAACATAATACTAGCCTTCCCAAAACTCAGAACTGGAATTCACCACATTAATATTCATGAAGAATCGTCTTAATCAATGCAGAAAAAAACTTCTGAAAACTTCAAAACCCATCTATGATTTTTTATAAATCTTACCAACCTAGGAATAGAAACAAACTTCCTTATTATGATAAAGAGTATCTACCAAAAATTTACAGAAAACATTATTCTTAATGATGAAACATTAACAAAACTCTCTTTAAATCAGAAACAGGAAGACCACCTTTATCATTCCCATTTACCAGCGCGCTGCAGGGCCGAGCCAGTGGAGGAAGACAAGGAGACCAGAGTCACCTTTATTCCCAGACGATCTGCCTACCTGCCAAGAAAACCAAAACCATCTACAGACGAAATGTTGGAATTAAATCATACATCCACCTGACCCGGCAGTGGGAATGGAATGAACAAACCAGCACTAGATTCAAACACACAGATAAAGGTTAGAAATAACGTTGACTGTGCAGCACCTGAGACCATGTTTATGACACTCAAAAACAAACAAAACCCCATGGCGCATTGTTTAGGGGTACAAATGCTTGTGGAAAATCATCTTTGAAAAGAAAGGGAATGGCACAAAGGGCAGGGCATGGCTGCATTTGGAGCAGAGAAGGGATGGGGTCAGGGGAGAGGCAACTGCCGCTTCTGGATCTTAAACTGCGGGGAGGGCAAGGGGGGGACAAGCACGCAAGCTTTACCCTCACGCTTCAGAACTTGCATACAGGGACTTCCCTGGTGGTCCAGTGGGTGAGACTCCGCGCTCTCAATGCAGGGGGCCTGGGTTCGATCCCTGGTCAGGGAACTAGATCCCACACACATGCCGCAACTAAGATCCCACACATGGCAATGAAGATCCTGCGTGCAGCAACTAAGACCGGGTGCAGCCAAATAAATATTTTAAAAAATAAATAAGTTTATATGACCTTTTCGAAGAGCAATTTGGTAATATCGATATTTAAAATGTGCATACAACTTCCCATCTAGGTACCCATACAGGAAAAATTCTCCCACAAGGAAAACAAATCAGAACATTCTTAGCAACACTGTTTGTAAAAGAGGAAGGAAGGGTATACATGTCCATCATTTTTACTTATCTTCAAGTAAAATTAAAGATCTAAAATACCATATTTTTGACAAGAATCTTAAAAACTAAATGAATTAATAAAAACTTACTTCAAAAAGAAAGAGGATGGAGTCCAGCTCCTCCCTTTGTGACTTATTATTCCCTGGAATATATAAAAAAAAATCAGTTATCATGACAATGTACAAATTTTAGGATATTAAAAATTATGCTAAAAGGTATCTTAAAACATTCAAGCCTCAACATACAGACTTTCAGTCAAAGATCCCGAGAGGTGCTGTGCAGCCTGCATTAGGGATGCAGGTGCGTGACGGAGCCAGACTGCCCAGGGCCATGTTCAGCAGAGCTGCTCCTTGCTAGCTGGTGACACACAGCTTCCAGGCTTTCTAAGTTTTAATCAACAGTGGATCATCTTCCCCCGCAACAAGAGGGGTCCACTTCTCCAGCCCTTGAATCTGAGAGGCCCTGTGACCTGCTCTGCTCCCTGATGACAGCAAATGTGAAGCGAGCTTGAAAAGCCTTCCACACCTGTGAGCGTGGAGCCCTAAGGCCACCGTGTGAAGGAGCCCAAGAGAGCCTGCCAGCTGGGGAAGAGGGGCCACATGGAGGAGCACTAAGGCACCCTGGGCAGTGGCTTGCTAACCAGGACATGTGTGAATGAGGCCGCCCGCCACCAACTGGTCAGAGGCGTGAGCCAGCCCAAACCAGAGGAGCCGTCCAACAGACCCAGAAAATCACAAGCTAAATGACTGGTAGTTGTTTTAAGGTGCTCAGTGTTGGGATGGTCTGTTGTGCAATTTGTTACGCAGCACAAACTGACTGATGGTCTTAAACCGCTACATGTTCCTAAAGGATAGAAGGAGAAAAGGGGAGGGAGGGGGGTGGCCTTTTAAAACAGGATTTTAGGTTGCAGGGGTTTTTTCAGGTACGGATTTTAATTTTTTTCTTTGTTATTGATTGTACGTAATACCACATTTTTCTCCTCCACACACCTGTGAAAAATAGTGAAGTGGAACAGAGCTAGGAAGATAAAAATCACATAATTTCATATTTGAAATATCTACCACATTTGGCAAGAAAAAAAATTTAAGTTCAAGATTTATACCAATTTATAAATCACAGGGGAAAAAGCTGAGAAATTCATTTAAAAAGAACACATGTTGGCGTCCTGGGCACATGCCCACATGTGACCTGACCTACTGGAGGCTGGAGCAGCGCCCCTTGCAGGGCCTGAGCATCAGCTGTGCGGCCTCCCCCAGACCCCCCTCCACGCTCGGCCTCTGCCTCAGGTCTCACAGGAACAGCCAGGGGTCCACACGCTCCTCTCCACGGCCTCTTCTTTCCACGTGACCCTGTCTCAGCCCACCTCCACACCAGGCACCATCTGCTGCCTCCCGTTCCTCAGCCTGCAACCAGGGAAACGCATCCCCTAAAACCTTCCCAGGACTGCGCAGCTCCTCTGGCTTCATCCTCACACCTTCCCAAAGACCACTTCCCGTGCAGCTCACTGTCTCACTGCCCGGTTGCTCCATCCCTGTCTGTCTGCCTTCTGATCCCGCTGGCCGCTCAGAACACTCCTTTCAATGACAACACCCTTCCCCATCCTGCTGGTCCTCAACTCTCTGCACTGGCAGGCGCTGCTGACCTTTCATCCCTTGAACTCCTCTATTCTCAGGCTTCCTGGCACCCTCCCGCCTACCCCTTTATTTTCCTCTGTCTGCCCAATAAAACAAGGAATTCCCCCAAATCCCTGACTGCCACTCTCTCGCTCTGCATACACTCTCTCCCTTGGCAACAGGATGACTGCACCTCCCTTCTCCCAAGCTCCAGTCCCTATAATTTAACAGCCCACCTACGCCCAGGTGTGCCCTGGGCACCGCAGATGCAGACTGCCCAAAGCTGGGCTCACCCTCTCGCCCCTCACACCTGGCTCCCCTGCAGGGCTCCCTCTGCTGCAAGGGCAGCGGAGGAACCAGAGTCAACATCCTGAAAGCGTCTCTGGCTTCCCCCTCTGGGATCCCTCTTCCCACGCCCGCGTCTCACGATTGGTCGGTGCACCCACGGACCCCTGACACTTTCTCTGCCTTGAACTGCCACGTCCCTGGAGCAGGCGTTCCCAGACCTCACACGGATGACAGCAGGCTCCTAACTGGTCTTCCTCCCTCTGGTTCACTCACCACATTATAAGACACTGTCTTAGTAGCCAATGTTTTCAAGAGCCCTGACCACCCAAAGAATGAAGTTCAAATGCTTTAACCTGGAATTGCAGGCTCCCCACGAGACAAGCATAAACCTCTTTCATACATCTGATGTCAAGAGAAAAAGAAATGCTTTCCCCAGACATGCCCCAAAGATGGCCTCCCTGCCGTCGCTCATTCTCTACCCTCTGTCCCCAAGGCCACCTCGTCCCCAACCTCCCTCGTGCACTCTACGGGAAATCAGCAGCCACAGACGGGGTGTCTATATCTGACAACACATCTACTTTCTGACCTATTCCACGGTGAACCATGCCTATGGCTTATTCCCTGACCCATCCACAACTACCACCCGCTGTGACGCATGTTCAGCATCTGATACGTCTCTGGATTCCTCTCAGGTATCTAGCCCAGTGCCTTGCTCATCGTCAGCTTCAAATCCTGGATGGGTGAATAAATGAAGAATTAAACAGGAGAGGGAGACAGAGCTGCCAGGGCCAGGGTCCACAAGGCCAGGGTCCACAAGGGCGAAAGGCACCCTTCAGGATGCTAAAGCATGGATGGTCCAGGCCCCAGGTAGAAGATGCTCTTGCCTGTCGGTGAGCAACACAGACGACATTTCACTGTCTATCCATCAACCTATCATCTGTGTTGTTTATTTAATGGGAGAAATATGAAAAAGGACAGTGCTTCTCAAGCTTGAGAGCACATGAGTATCAGCGGAGGGCTTCTTAAAACACAAATTGCTGACTTTCCACCTGCAGAGTTTCTGATTCAGGAGGCTTAACGAGTGCCCAGGTGATACCCGTGCTGCTAGTCTAAAAACCACAAGGCGCTCTGAGAGCCACTGGTACAGGGAAGGCGCTCTGAGCATGGCATCAAGAAGCCTGGTTGCAATTCCGCCTATACAATTAAATAAATAATCTGTGTGACCTCAGGCCAGTGATATAACCTCTCTGGACATGGTTTTCTCAACTCTAGAATGATGACTGTGAAAAACCCAATCTCCTGAGCCCCTTCCAACCTTAAAACTCTGTGGTCCTGACTCAGTCACTCAGAAGTCAGTCATCCAGAACAATGGCACTTCTGTCCAACGCAGTACTGTAACTGTTTAAAACTGTGGTGGATATAAAGGTGCTAACATGCAAGGATTTCCAAAACACATTACATAAAAGTGAAAGATGATGATGATAATGACAGCCAACAGTTACCATGGACCACGTGCCATGCTTTGTCCTGGAATCCCAGGACACGTGTCAACCCACTTAATGCTGACAGAAGGAAACTGAGTCACAGATGAAGTAACCTGTCCAAGGAGAAACAGCTAGAAGGGTAGGGCAAGGATCCAAACCTGTCTGGCTCCCCGGGCTACTCTATCCTGCCACATAAATACAGAGCAGAATGTGCAGCGTGACTTTATTGGCTTGGTTTTCAAAGAATATTTCGTGTAAGTATTGGGGTGGCCAAAAGTTTCATTCGGTTTTTTCCATAAGATGGTCTAATAGCACTTAATTGTCTTAAACTTCATTCAAAACAATTTTGTTAGATTGTATTGTGACAGGTCACATCAGCATGCATTTTAAAAAAAGACATCAAAATTGGTGAATTTTTGTGTAGCCATTTTATTATTGAAGATGGAAGAAAAAACCAACATTTTTGGCATATTATGCTTTATTATTTCAAGAAAGGTAAAAACCCAACTGAAATGCAAAAAAAAGATTTGTGCAGTGTATGGAGAAGGTGCTGTGACTGATCGAATGTGTGAAAAGTGGTTTGCGAAGTTTTGTGCTGGAGATTTCTCGCTGGACGATGCTCCACGGTCGGGTAGACCAGCTGAAGTCGACAAAGATCAAATCGAGACATTAACTGAGAACAGTCAACGTTATACCACCTGGGAGATAGCCAACATACTCAAAATATCCAAATCAAGTGTTGAAAATCATCTGTACCAGCTTGGTTATGTCAATTGCTTTGATGTTTGGGTTCCACATAAGTTATGTGAAAAAAACCTTCTTGACAGTATTTCTGCATGAGATTCCCTACTTAAACGTAAGGAAAACAGCAAATTGTGATGGGAGATGAAAAGTGGATACTGTACAATAATGTGGATGGAAGAGATCATGGGGCAAGCGAAATGAAGCGCCACCAACCACACCAAAGGCCAGTCTTCATCCAAAGAAGGCGATATTGTGTATATGGTAGGATCAGAAGGGAGTCCTCTTATTACGAGCTCCTTCTGGAAAACCAAACAATTAATTCCAACAAGTACTGCTCCCAGTTAGTCCAAATGAAAGCAGCACTCGACGAAAAGCATCCAAGGTTAGTCAATATGATCTTCCATCAGGATAACGCAAGACCACATGTTTCTTTGATGACCAGGCAAAAACTGTTACAGCTTGGCTGAGAAGTTCTGATTCATCTGCCGTATTCACCAGACATTGCACCTTCGGATTTCCATTTATTCGGTTTTTACAAAATTCTCTTAATGGAAAAAATTTCAATTCCGTGGAAGACTGTAAAAGACACCTGGAAAAGTTCTTTGCTCAAAAAGATAAAAAGTTTTGGGAAGATGGAATTATGAAGTTGCCTGAAAAATGGCAGAAGGTAGTGGAACTAAAGAGTGAATACCTTGTTCAATAAAGTTATTGGTGAAAATGAAAAACATGTCTTTTATTTTTACTTAAAAAACCAAAGGCACTTTTTAGCCAACCCAATATGTATGGGCATAACCATAAACATATATAAACACAGTATATTAATAACATATACAGGACACTTTGATAGTGGTTGCCTCTGCACAGCAAGATTGGGTGTCTGGGCAGACAGACACATCAGTTTTCATTCCAAACCCTTTAGTGGAATCTGAATTTTTTTAATGATGTGCATACATTACTTTTCTTTCTTTCTTTTTGAGTAAATCGCCTTGGCTGCTGAGCCTGCGCATCCGGAGCCTGTGCTCCGCAACGGGAGAGGCCACAGCAGTGAGGGGCCCGCGTACCGCGCAAAAAAAAAAAAAAAGCATGTAACTTGTGGCACATGACACACACAACCTCTCAGAACTTCCTGAATATTTAAAAAAACAAAAAACTTTGTATATCAGAAACATTTTGTAGAAATTCTTACCTTTTAATTTCAAACTATTTTCCAGTGTTATAAAATTTTCATAGAAGATGAAATATATCTGAGAATAGTTGGTCTCAAAAAACTGCTTAAGATCACTTGCATCCACGTTATCTGAAAAGAAAAAGGTCCCATTTATGACAAACTTACACAATTATCAGAGTTCACAATCTTTTCAGAAATGAAGGAATGTAAAAACGAGCCATATCCCCTTATAAGACAAAACAAAACAAAGTGTATTCCAGTCCACTTCTTTCTCCACCTAAGGAGAGCTCTGAGGTGGCCTGGGGCACCTCCCCTCCCGGTCCCAGACCTCAAGGTCAGAGCCTGGGGGCACAGCACCTAAGAGCAGCTAGAAGGCCAGGGGTAAGTGAGGGTCCAGGGAGGGACAAGATGACTTCCTGTTAGGGGTGGGGAAGTAAAAGTTCATGGAAGAGGTGGCTGCTGACCCAGGCCATAAAGAGGGATGCGCCTGTACGGCTGAGAAACAACTCTGCCAGGAGCCCCGCATGACCCAGAATCTCCTCCCTCCCTCCTGGCTCCCGTGCCACCGCGCAGAGGACAGCAGGCCCTCCCCCGACACCTGCCCACATCCACCTGGTCCACTTGCCACCGCGTCCCTCCAGCTTCTACGTGACCCACCCCACCCCTGCGTGGACACGGCGAACCCGCCATGTGCTCCTAGCCTCGTCCCAGCAGTGTGTCTCCCAGCTGCACCAGTGTTGCTAAACCAGGGCTGTGGATGGATCGGCAGGTGGTGCAGGGAACTTAGCCCAAGAACAGCTTCCCCGCACTCCCACCACCAGCCCTGGCCCCCACAGGGGCTGAGCGACAACACAGCCAGCATCCCTCGCAGCTCCAGTCAGTCGCCCACTGTCAACACACCTCTGTACAGGTGCCTTAGCAGACAAGGTTGTCTGTGCGTTTACAGCAGTGTCCTGACCAAGGTGTTAGCTCTGTGGAAGAATACACCTTAGGAAACCTCAGGAAAATTAATAACAGCTTCCTTAAAGTTCTACAAGATTACTCAAGAAAATAAAGTGTGTTGCTATTCAATCTATAACAGAGTCGTATCAGCTTTGGAGGGTCCTAATATGAATATGCATGAACACATCCACTGCTATGCTTACATTCCATAAAGTTAACACTATTGCTGGTGAATCTAGAGTTGTCTCCCCCTGATAACTACACAGTGCCTTTCATGCAAAGATCTCACCTGGTTCTTTGAAACAATGCACATAAGGTGTTGGTAAAGTCATAGGAACTGCCAATTTCACTTTCTGTTTCTTGCCACAAAATAACACTGAGCACAGAGCAGTGGAAGTTCCTAGCAACTAACCAGTTTACCTTTGCCCAAGCAGGTAACAATGACATCAGGATCCTTAACCCATGTGAATATCACCATTCTCACGAGCTACACAACCCTGCCAAGGAATCCTCAAGTGCCTTCTGCAGGATGTGTCAGTTCCAAGAGAGGGCTTTGCTCATGTTCATGCCAACACCAACTGCTCCCGGGACTGCTGAAACCTCCCCAGCCGCCCAGGCCAGGTCAGGGCCTCTGCTCTGGGGCCCACAGCCCTATTCCTCCCCGTCCTAGACGGTGTCACACTGTACTCCACTCTTGGTGCAGCTCCTGACTTAGTTCTGATGGAAGGGTCTGTCTCCTCTGTTAGAGACAGTCCCCACCCTCACAGACCTCCTGTGTGTCTCAGCATCATCAGGCACCCTGCAGGGAATATAGCATTTAGCTCAGTATTTTCTTGAACGAACTAAATAAAAGCAACAGCCTACAATATACAATCACAGGACAGTGACCACAACTGGTAACCCATCAGATCTCATGCTGATGGGAAAAAGTGGCCTGACCCTTTTTCAGATCCTTGGGGTTATTAGGAGAGAAATGTCAACCCTCTGCTGAGGACGCCCGATTCCGCTCTGCAGCCCCAGCTCTCACGGCCCCTGCTCCAAGTGAGGGTCTAAAGGCTTCTCGTTCTCACCCTCACTTTCTGCTCTTCCCACAAGAACGACCCACCGCGCTGCTCAAGCTGAAACCTAGTCCCCATCCCGGCTCCTCCCAGCTCCTTCCCAGCCTGTCTCCAGGGTGTGGCTTCCTCCACAGACCCACCGGACACTGTACCCCCATCCCTGCCCGCCACCCATCCCCGCCCAGAGTCCCCACATCCCCACTTCCCCTCCATGGTCCCCTCTCCACACTGCCGTCAACAGTAAAATGGAATAAACCAAATCAGACCATTCTTTTACTCAAAACCTTCCAACGGCCTCCAGTGCTGCTTACAATAAAATCCAAACCCTTTACCATAGCCTGGCGGCCCTACGGGCTTTCCTCCACTCAAGGCCAAGTCCATCCCACACCACTCTCTCTGCGCCCTGCACCCTGGCTGCCGTGGCTTCTTTCCATCTCCCAAGCTTCCCACACGTGTTCCCCACCCTGATCTTCATCCAGCTCATTCTTTCTCATCCTTCAGAGCTGGGATCCCACACAACCTCCACAGAGAAATCTAAGGAGCCCCCGTGTCCCCAGGCATGGCCTCCATCACCCACCTCCTCCTTCACAGAATCTGGCGGGTGGGCGGCCAACTGCTCGCCTGTGAATGGGCCGCAGCAAGCAAAGCATCTCCATGCTGAGGACATGGATACACAGGTATGGCAAGACAGCACAGAATGGTGATGGGCCACCAACAGTCTACCTTCCCTGGCCTCCCCGGTCCCTCAGAAACACTCGACTGTCAGCGACCTGAGCAAAGAGGGTCCTCGTCAAGGCTGAGGGGCTTCATGCAGACAGAGACACCCTCATGAGGCCAGAGTCCAGGCGGCAGCCACCTTCCTCCTCAGCCATTCACTGTCTTCCTTGTGGGTTAGCAGTAGATGGAGCTTAAAGTCCTCAGGACAAGAGCAGGCCCTCCAGGTCACCCAGCACACAGTGAACGAAGGGTGTAACATCTGTAACTACTAGTTTATTTACCCATGTGAGGACTCCTCACTGGTCTGGGAGTCCCCTTCACATGATCCCTGCCCACCACACTTAAGATGAGTGGAGACTGTCTCATTTATTCATTTACTTCTCCACCGACCAGCACTCCACTAGAATGGAAGCCACATATGGGCAGGAATCACATCTGTTTTGTTCCCTGCTGTACTTCCAGCCCCAGGAACAGAGTTTGGTACCCGAAAGGTACTTGACACACATTTGTTAAGTGAACAAACAAAAAATAAATATCAAATATTTTCTATCTCTACTTCAAAATCTAGAATGTTCCCATGATCTGTCTTATTTTTGAAAAATAGGACTCATCAGATGAATATTTACAAAGCATAGATCTTGGAGAAGGCGGGCACTGGGAGTTAGCATCCTGCAGAAGGGGACACAAGGGAGTGTCACAGGTCTACTTTGTAACAAGGTAACTCTGAGAACCAAAGATATATAGGAGGAGACTGCTCAGGAAAAAAACAAAAAAAAGCCTATGACCGGGCTTCCCTGGTGGCGCAGTGGTTGAGAGTCCGCCTGCCGATGCAGGGGGCGCGGGTTCGTGCCCCGGTCCGGGAGGATACCACGTGCCGCGGAGCGGCTGGGCCCGTGAGCCATGGCCGCTGAGCCTGCGCGTCCGGAGCCTGTGCTCCGCAACGGGAGAGGCCGCAACAGTGAGAGGCCCGCGTACCGCAAAAAAAAAAAAAAAAGCCTATGACCACAAACTTCCTTTCGAAAAACACTCTTCATCTGTTCATTCAAACAAGACTGAGCCCTGACCCCTGCCAAATAGCCCTGCGCCAAATGCCGAGAAATTCAAAAAGAATACAGTGCAGGGCCCTCCAGGGTACAGGAACACAAGCAAGTAATGGAGACGGCAGCGTGCCTGAAGCTCAGGCAGGGCATCAAAGCAGGGAGTGACAAGGCCACCTGGGGAGGTTGGGAACATTAAAAACACTGTACATTTATGCTTTGAAAGACACACTTTCATGACTGTATTTTATTTGACCCTCACCACAATCCTGTGAGGGGGATGGGGCAGGTGCGGTCAAGACAAAGAAACCTCAGGTTCAGAATCGTCTGTAACCTGCCCAAGGTACCGGGCCAGTCAGAGAGTCCTGTCCGGGTCTCCAGCTCAAACATGAGCTACACAAAGGCCTCAGAAACAGACGGAAGAAGTCAAAACCAGAAATCGGGTCAGGATTTCGTCGTCCCTTCGGGGATGGGATGTGCAGGAGAGCCCAAGGGAGAACAGCAGGGGGATGAGAGGACAGGGAAGACACGAGGGGAGACGCGGCCCGGCTCCCCACAATGACCTCACAGCAACCTCCCCATGGCCTCGTGGGGCCAGTGAGGAAGCGGGAAGGAGGGGAGTCCCCAGGTACAGAGCCCAGGCTGTAGACCACCTGTGAGGTGATGAGCCTGGGTGTGTTTGGCACCGACGCTAGCACGCTGCCTGGCTGGCATCACAAAACCCAGGCAAGTACATTCACACTGACCACAGAGAAGCAACCAGCAGTCAGCTTTACAGAGCTAGTGGTCATTCTGGGATTTGTAAAGCAATCTCCTTTATCACCAACCAACAGCCAATCAATTGTTTCTATTATTTTCCCATTATATCTGAAAAATAATCTATATTCCACACCAGAAGCTACCCTCCCCTGGCCTTTTGCCCAGCTAAGCCTCCTGCTGACAATTATTTCCCCACATCTAGCTGGAAGACAATAGCAAAGCTTGAAGGCAGAACCTTTGGAGCAGACTGCCTGGGTTCAAGTCCAGAATCTACAAGACCTGGGCGAGTTATTTAAAACACTTTGTGCCTCAATTTCCTCACCTGAGAAAGTGCTTCTAAGTGTGTAGTCAGCATTATGTAAATAAATGCTAGTTGTTTTCCAATTACCTAGCTCCTGGCAAAGGCCATCTCACGAGGTAGGAATAACCCAGCTTCACATGTGAAGCCATAAAACGCAATGACACGTGAAACTCACCCACTTAATGAGACCTTTCGAAAAGGCACAGCACTTAATCCCAATTCAGCAGCAGATGCTCCAAAACTAGTGGGACTGCCCCTCCACTTCCTCCCACATATAACCCTTCCCAATAGCAATCTTACTCCTTTTTAGTTGGG